AACAACAAGTGCTGATGAGGACGTGAAGAAAAGGGAACTCTTTTGCATTGTTGCTGGGAATGCAGACTGGTATAGTCACTGTGGAAATCAGTATGGAGATACCTTAAAAAATTAAGGGGTCTGTCTTTTGATCCAGATATCCCACTGCTGGGAATATATCTGAAGAAACCCAAAACACTAATTCGAAAGAATATAATCACCCCATGTTCACCGCAGCATCATTTACACTCGCCAAGATATGGAAGCAGCCCAAATGTCCATTAGTAGATGACTGGATGAGACAACTATGAGACATTTGCACAACGGAATATTACTCAGCCATAAAAAAAAAAGGAAATGTTTCCCTTTGTGACAGCATGGATGGACCTGGCGAACATTATGCTAGGTGAAATAAGCCACCAGAGAAGGACAAATACCATATAATTTGACTATATGTGGAATCTAATGATCAAACTGAAGTAACAAGAAAAATAGAGACAGACCCATAGATAGAAATAGGAAGACAGCTATTGTGATAGGCAGGGAGGTTAGAGGGACGGGCAATTAAGGGATACAGTGGAAAGGAAAAAGGACTCATGGACATGTACAAGAGTGTGGTGATTGTAGGGGGGAAGGCGTATAAGGAAGTTAAATGGTAATAGAAGAAATAAAAACATTTTTTAAAAAAGAAAATTGAAAAACACACAAAGGATATGGAGTTTAAATAAGATGTTTCTAAACAATGAATGTGTTAACAAGAGCAAGGAGGATATCAAAAGATACCCAGAGACAGAAATGAAACACAATAGCCCATGATCTATGAGACACAGACAAAGCAATTCTAGGAGAGAAATTCATAGTGATACAGCTACCTTAAGAAACAAGAAAAATCTTAAATAAACAATCTAAATTTATACCTAAACGAACCAGAAAAAGAAGAACAAGCAAAGCCCAAAGTGAGTATATAAGGAAGAAAATAACAGATCAGAGTGTAAATCAATGATCTGGAGTCTAAAAAAATAATAGAAAAGGTCAATGAAATTAAGAGCTGGTCTTTGAAAAGTTAAACAAAATTGACAAACCTTTAGCCTGATTCATCAGAAAAAAAAAAAAAAAAAAAAAGAGGGACCAAATAAACTAAATCAGAAATAAAACAGGGGACAAAATGAAACCAAAAAATACAAAGGAATATCAGGAAATATTACAAAAAATATATGGCAACAAATTGGACAATCTGGAAAAAACAGATAAATTACTAGAAACATACAATCTGTTGAGAATGAATCAGGAAGAAACAATATCTGAACAGACTGATAACTACTAACAAAATTGAACCAGTAATTGGAAAATCCCAACAAAGAAAAGTCCTGGACCTGATGCCTCCACAAGTGAATTTAACCAGAGTAAAAGAAGATAATACCTGTTGTTCTCAAACTATTCCCAAAATTAACGAGAAGGGATGGCTCCCAAACTCAGTTTACAAGGCCAGCATTACCCTGATACCAAACCTGCTAAAGACATTACACAGAGAGAAAATTTTAGGCCACTACTCCTAATGAACATGAATGCTAAAATCCTCAACAAAATGTTAGCAAACCAGATCCTGCAATACATTAAAAAGATCAAACACCATGATAAAGTGGGATTTACTACTGGGATGCAAGGTTGGTTCAATATCCACAAATCAATGAATGTGATACACCAGATAAACAAAATGAAGAATAAATGCAGAAAAAGCATTTGATAAGTTCTAGCACCCATTTGTGATAAAAACCCTCAGCAAAGTAAGGATAGAGGGAACATACCTCAACATAATGAAGGCCATATACCACAAACCCATAGCTAACATCATACTAAAATATGAAAAGCTAAAAACGTTTTATTTAAGATCAGGAACAAGACAAGAATGTCCACTTTCAGCAATTCCATTCAACATGTGTAGGATGTGCCTGTTGTAGGGAGCATAACCTGGTTTTTACTTAACTATAATTTTATTTTAATTAATTGTATAAGAGAAGGAAAGCCTATCATCAAACAATAACAAAAAAGCCTTTCTGAATCATTCTGTGAATTTTTGGGGGGAGGGGTATTTGGATTTCAATTTTGATTTGAAATTTTACATATCAGATATTAATAACTGAAAGCATTTCCCCTTCCTCTCATCTTAATGGTTCTCCTTTCCCCTATATTTTCTCTGTCTGCCCTGTATATTACCAAATACCACAGCCAGATTGACAATCCCATATTTTGGAAGTGTGACCTGTTAAAAGATACATACTGTTCTAGCTCCTTAGCTTACACAACCTAGCCAATATTAAAAAGCTTTTAGGCATCATACTTTCACATATATTTTCACCACCACATTCCATAATGACATCCATTCTTTGCATTTTGAAAATGATTTTTTGAATTCTGTCTGACTTCTGGCCAAGATGGATGTGTAGGTAGACACACAGTACCTCCTTGCACAACCAAAATAAGGACAACAACAATTTAGAAACAAAATTATAACAACCAGAACTGACAGAAAATTCAACTGTATGGAAGTCTGACAACCAAGGAGTTAAAGAAGACACATTCATCCAGATGGATACAAGGGGCGGAGCCAGGCAGAGAGGGTTCACCGGCAAAAAAAAAGTGGTGGCTTGTGGAACTCAGGCATGGGATGGCAGCGGGCATACTCAGCAAGGTGACGATTGTGGAGTGGGATGAGGGGCACAAGGCAGCTGGCTGACCAGGAGGTCCCACATTCGCATGCAGATAAACCAGGCGAGACTGGGGAGCAAGACAGACTGCGCAACCCAGGGCTCCAGCACAAGGAAATAAAGCATCAAAAAACCAACTGAAAATGCCTATGGGGGCTGAGGTGCCGGGAGAGATGCCCAGTCTCACAGGAGAGTTCATTAGAGAGACCCACAGGGTCTTAGAACGTACATAAGCCCACCTACACAGGAATCAGCACCAGAAGGGCTCAGGGTGCTTGGGAGAAGCAGTGAAAGGGACTGAAATCCAACAAAGAGTGGAGCAAGTGTCACTATTCCCTCTCTGACCCCTGCCGCACATACAGTGTCACAACCCAGCCACTGGTTTCTCCACCCTGCTGAACACCTAAGGCTCCACCCCTCACTACATAACAGGCGCATCAAGACCAAAAAAAAAATAAATAAATAAAAGGCCCAAACGAATAAACAAATCAAAGCTCCAGAACAAACTCAACTAAGCCATGAAGAGATAGCCAACCTATCAGATAAAGCACTGGTGATAAGGATGCTCACAGAATTGGTTGAATTTGGTCGTAAATTAGATGAAAAAGTGAAGGCTATACTAAGTGAAATGCCTTTATTGCCTTAGGTTACACTAAGTGAAATGCACCGGGAACCAATAATGATGGGAAGAACACTGGGACTCAAAACAATGGAGTGGACCAGAAGGAAGAAACAACCAAACAGAAAAGAAGGAAGGAACAAGAATTCAAAAAAATGAAGAGAGACTTAGGAACCTCCAGGACATCTCTAAACATTCCAATATCCAAATTATAGGGGTATCAGAAGGGGAAGAGGAAGAGCAACAAGTGGAAAACTTATTTTGAACAAATAATAAAAGAATTTCCCCAATCTGGCAAAGAAAATAGACTTCCAGGAAGTCCACGAAGCTCAGAGTCCCAAAGAAGTTGACCCAAGGAGGAACACACCAAGGCACATCATAATTACATTACCCAAGATTAAAATGGAGAGAATCCTAGAAGCAGCAAGAGATAAGGAGACAGTAACCTACAAAGGAGTTCCCATCAGACTGTCAGCTGATTTCTCAAAAGAGACCTTGCAGGCAAGAAGGGGCTGGAAACAAGTATTCCAGGTCATGAAAGGCAAGGACCTACATCCAAGATTGCTCTATCCAGTAAAGCTTTCATTTAGAATGGAAGGGCAGGTAAAGTGCTTCTCAGATAAGGTCAAGTTAAAGGAGTTCATCATCACCAAGCCCTTATTTTATGAAATGTTAAAGGGACTTATCTAAGAAAAAGAAGATAAAAAAAGCATGTATAGTAAAATGACAGCAAATTCACAATTATTAACAAACACACCTAAAACAAAACCAAAAGAAACTAAGCAAACAACTAGAACAGGAACAGAAGCACAGAAATGGAAATCACATGGAGGGTTAGCAACAAGGGAGTGGGAGAAGGAGAGAGGGGGAAAAGGTATGGGGAATAAGTAGCACAGATGGTAGGTAGAAAATAGACAGGGGGAGGTTAAGAATAGTATGGGAAATGTAGAAGCTAAAGAACTCATGACACATGGACCTGAAGTAAAGGGGGGAATGTGGGTGGGAGAGGGCGTGCAGGGTGGAAGGGAATGAAGGGGGGGAAATGGGACAACTGTAATAGCATAATCAATAAAACGTGTGTAAAAAAAAGAAAATGATTTTTTATAAGACACCTTATTTTCCTATTTAAGTGTCCCGAGCATCGGAGTTTATTATTATTCAGGTGACCTAATTTTAAAAATCACTTTTTATAGTGTAGTAATGATTCCTAGAACTTTATTCCCCAAGATAGCTCTTCCCACTTCTGTCACCCTTTGAGATTACTGGTGTTTTAAAAGGAAGAATGCCTTATGACATGAACCTTTTACTTTAAATCTGATTTTGCCTTTCATTAAAATAAGGGGGAAATATAAGTGTTTTCACTTTCAAACAGGTCAGTCTGCTCATGTGTTTCAGACAATTAGCAGAGAGGTAGGATGGCTCTGTTTGCAATCAAGTATGTGGTACCTCTACGAGTTTCCACATCCACTCCCAGAGCAGTCAAACAAGACAATTAGGAAAAATACTCAGTGCTGAACCAGCCACAGTGGTGAGCCCTCTACAACCTTCTGGATGCCAACTATGTTGCTATAGCTATTAAGGAAGGGTCCTGTTTAACCTACAGGGCACACTGGTATAGAGGTCATTTAGAACACTCAGAAGAGCACCAGCATTCCTCCTCCAAGGTGAACTTCACACTGAAGCCTTGTGGCAGTTACCTCGGGGGCATGGTAGGAAAGGCACTGAAAGATCCAGTCCATGGCAGGTGAGTACAAGGGCAGGTAGGATGAGAGCTCTACTCCTTGGATCACCAGATGGTTCTGGACTGTATCCCCATGAATCTACAAGAGACAAAATACACACTTAGACAAAGAAGGAAAGTCACATTATAAACAAGGAGTATGTAACTCAAGAATGCATACTTAGAAGCATTTGCATGGTCCTGACAGAAATTGCCTAGTTTCACAGGGTTTTGTTTATTTGTTTTTTTAACTGGAAGAAAACAGCAAAGTTTCCCATGTCACTGAGCTGAGATGTTCTGGAAATATGCACTGTGGAAAGAAGTAACCTGATAAAAATGGAGCCAGCAGATGTTAAAATGGAAGTCTGATTAACTGTAGACATTTCCTGTTAACAAATGCATATTAATTCTCTCTGCTTGCTCAGTACAAACAACATATTTTAATTGTCTGTAACAGATGTTAGTATAATTTTCTAGGGTTCACAATTTTTTTAAAGATTTTATTTATTTATTTTTCAAGAGTGGAAGGGAGGAAGAAAGAGGGAAACCTCAATGTGTGGCTGACTCTCACACAACCCCTATTGGGGACCAGGCCTGCAACCCAAGTATGTGTCCTGAGTTGGAATCGAACTGGCAACCTTTTGGTTCACAGGCTGGCACTCAATTCACTGAGCCACACCAGACATAGCTCTAGGGTTTACACTTTTAAAGAGCTTTAAGGTAGTCTCAACTTGCAAAAGCAATTGAGTTTTGTGAATTTGTGATCATGTACATGTTATATCAACTGTTCAACTGCATTGTTCTCCTACCTGTTTGAATATAAGAAGGAAGTCAAAAAAGTTCTTATTTAGACTTTCTTTAAGATGTGGAGCCACTTCCATTCCCACCTGCATCCAAAAAAGAAAAAGAAGAAATAAATTACCTTGACTGTGGAACAGGCTGCAAATAATATATACAGTATGGTGCCATTTTGTAAATTAAAAATGTACACACTGATAGATACAGGCATGAAGAAGACCAGAAAGATCATTCTTATTATTTTTTGTTTACCTATTATCTTATTCAATAAGCATACAATTTTCATTTTTTTTAAATAGAAGATATTTTTAATTAAAAAGAGGCATTCGCAGTAATCATCTTTGTAATTTCCCAAAGGTAATGAATGTATTTTTGAACAGATGACCAGGAAAACAAATTAATACAGCACTAGGAGGAATGTACTCTCAAGGCTATATATACGATTTTCTCTTCCTAGACTCTGAAAAATGATTAACACACATGGATTATGGTATATAAAAGAGTCAGCTGGGACTTCACTGTTGCATTGTTAAAATATATGGATTCATTCTTTACTAGGCAGGCATGGAAGCAGACAAATTATAATATATTTTAAGAAATTTTACATAAGATAAGCATGAAGCATAACAATGCTATAATCCATTGGTCTTGTATTCACGACTAACACTTCCTGTAGAAAGAATTTGCTAATCAGAGAGAAGGTGGCTAGAGGCGTTGGACTAGATGGAAAAGTGAAGGTCTGAGCTACAAAGTATCTCAACTGGCTCCTTAAATTAAGTTCTTCAGATATACCTCAGATACTTTCCGGCTTTAATGCAAAAACACCTTTGTAAGGAAAGTTGCTTTTCTGGTGCATAGTTTTTTACAACAGGTCAGATTTCTGCCACTCATTTCCTCCTCACTCAGAAGCCTGAAGATTATAAATAGTATGTTTACTATTTAGAAATAGTGATGTTTACTATTATCTTCACAGATGCCTATCAAAAATTCCTTTGAGAAGAATTATGAAAGATTCATGGGTTGTTAAATTCTAAGGGCACCTCTATGGCTACTGGCGATGTTTCCAAACAAGACAGATTTTTAAAAGGCTCTAACAACAAATGTTACATCCAGTTCTACTATGTTTTGATTCTGTTTTCTTTCATTCCACTCAATCATATCTTAGAAAGGAAATAATTATCTGTTAGGGGACAACAAAGAAAGGCCCAGTGGACTAGCAGTGGAGATGAGCTGAAAGGACTGTGACTCAGAAGAGTAGTTATTAAACTTTCCTTTAATAAAGTATTGAGCTCTCTGTACACCCTGCACACTCACTGCTTTTTTTTTTTTTTTTTTTTTTTTGTGTGTTCCTTCCCATTTAGCCAAATGAGCAGCTTGGAAACCTGCTGGGTCTGAAAGATTTCTTCCCAGAGGAGCAAGGGTAGTTGTTCATGATTTTCATCTGCTGCTTTTGTCTGTCTGGCATTTGTTCTCAGTTTTTGTCTGTGGAAAATCAAACTTTTCTCTTGGATCAGGTTTGTGACAGAGTTGGACCCAGCCCACCCCGAGTTCCAGGGATGGGGACATGACCTAGACTGGGTCTGTAATCATATGTTGTCCTATGGCCACAGTGACTGCTCCATCAACAAACAATACACATCAATATACTATCTTGGGTCACAAGACAGCATATGGCAATTCAGCCAGGAAACTCTGACTGGAACTACTAGGGAAAAGAGGACTCTCATTCTACTGGGATTCCTACACTGAAAAAATGAAAGTCTGGAGCTGCTGTGGGCCACTGTATAGAAAGAGCATGGCTTGGCCTGGCTGGCGTAGCTCAGTGGATTGAGCATGGGCTGTGAACCAAAGTTTCGCAGGTTCGATTCCCAGTCAGGGTACATGCCTGGGTTGCAGGCCATGACCCCCAGCAACCGCATATTGATGTTTCTCTCTCTCTCTCGATCTCCCTCCCTTCCCTCTCTAAAAATAAATAAATAAAATCTTAAAAAAAAATAATTTACAGTGGACAGTTAAAAAAAAAAGAAAGCATGGCTCAGAGTGAAGTCAATTCACAGGAAAGTAGAGCTGAGTGATGATGAACAGGATGATTCTTGACAATACTCTGAGGTTATGGATCTAGCCACGACTACATTATTCTCTGACTCTTCAGAGCCAATCTCCCTTTTTGCTTAAAGTAGTACAAATTGGGTTTTTGCCACTTGAAAACCTTAAGAATTCTTACTAATGCATATACACTGTCTTACTCTTTTTGTCAAAAAATGTTTAAAAGTAACTACCCAATCAGGAGAATTAATGTACTGCCTGGATTGAAAAAATGATTTCAACAGATACAGTATATTTCATCACCAGTGTTCCTGGGATGGTTCTGTTGTCTCACCTTAATGTCACTAAGTTTTCAAGATGTAGCTGCCACTGAAGGCACTTTATATGCAACAAGTATTATCTTTTTCCTAACTCACATAGCTTTCTTAAAACTTTAAAACCAAACAGGTTTGCAAGGAATAGGTATTTCTCCTCTTTCTGACTTCTATTTAAAAAACAAAAACATATTCATAAGACATGAAGTAATTCTAAATTTTCATTGCTCTATTATTCAAATAATGTTAAGGTAAGTTCAAAGCTTTTGCTACAATTTACAAGGGGAAGAGCAGCAATGTGAGGATATGCAACCGATAAAGCTATCGTGGCATCTTCCCCAGAGGCTCCAGAAGTGTTCTGTGCACAGTAGGCCCAGCAAACACTGCTTCTAAGGAAATATTTAAACTTCAGTATGGTCCAAAGTTGTGCTATCAGAAACATAACCAATATTCCTCTGTGAAAAATTCACCTCTAGTTTCAAGCACGGCAATACATAAACACTTTGGCCTGTTAGAAAAGTGGAACTGGTTGCCCTGAAATGGAAGACATTTTCTTTCATTCTCAATATCAAGAAGCAGAGCTACGAAAGTGTCCTTCAAAAGGATGTCTGCTACTTACTCTGAGGGCAATGACTGATTTATGACACTTGAGATTATAACAGGGTACAGCCAAGAGTGGGGCCCCAAATAGGGATTTGCAATGGGGCCCAGAACTCAAGGTGTCCAGGATATATTAGAGAAATATATAGGATATCCTTACCACCCCAAAAGGCTGAGCTGGGGGATGGGACACAGGAGCAGGGCCATTGTTATATAGCAACAGCTTTGCAGCTAACCTCTGGGATGGTCATTTAACATTATCTATAACTTTTAACTGGTTTCATAGGTATGTTAAACAGCTGTGGCCATGCTTTGAGCCAGACGGATGGAAGTGACTTCTACCCAAGATGTAACTGGGAGGCAGCTCCCCCTGGTTACAGCACCTGCATGAGAGCTTGGAGAAGATTGGTTCCATGCCATGGGGCCACACCTGCCCTGACTTACTATGCAAGCCCAGTAAAGCTGGAAGAATAGGGGAATGCTGGCAGGTGTAATTGATTGCAGGAGGAGTCGGAAATGGGGCTGCAGAGGAAGATTGGTGCAGGGATTTAAACCCAGGCGCGGCAGCCATAGCGGGGAGAACCATGTGGCTTTGGCCCATGTGGGGACCCCGCAGCTTTGGGGTGCTCCCTTTAGTCATGTGGCTTAGGAAGCAAGAGAGACTTTGCCTGGAAAAAAAGGGGTGAAAGGACTCTTGCTGGTGGGCCATGAGAAGGTGCCACATGGCTTTGGATTAACTGGAGATCGTGACCATGACACACTTGATGGTGCCAGGAGCCCGAATCATGGACTTCTACTTCTTTTCCTGAGATACGGTACCCCAGACTGGGCAGAGGGAGAAGGAAGGACTGTGTGTGTCTGTGGGTGTTCTAAAGGACTTTAGTATTTTAATGAAGACATTAGGTCACTACTCTAAGTCTGTATAGCCTTTAAATAAATATTTTCTTTCCTTTTCTCAAATCTCTGGCATTGAGAGTCTTTCCTTTGCCAGCAGGCATAGCAAGCCTAGTGAGGCGTCCTTTCGGTAATCGTATGTCATACACCATCCTTGGGTCTGTTCTGTAACAAGACTAGAGAACAACTATCATATGATGGATGGTCAGATCAAAGAAGTCAATCAAAGGCTACTGTTTCTCACCTCCTGACTTAAAAATATAATTACTAGTGGGGGTATGGGGATCTATGTAGCTCTGTTCTCCAGCAAGACTAGGGCTCATCAAGACCCAACAAAAGGGGCAATAAGTCCTCTTTAAAGCCGAATAATGCTGATGGGACAGGCAAGGAGTACTTCCACTGAAAGCTGACACAGGCAAAGGCCCCATATGATTTGAAGAAAAATAACTGTAAAATGGGTTGTATTTTTCATGAATAAAAATTAATAATTTTAAGTAGAAATGTCATGGTGCATTAAAGGAAAAAAAGGCTAAGTGATTTACCACGTGGACCACCTTGTCCATTAGAGCAGTGCCAAAGATGGGCCTGCAGCCTCCTCAGCCAGGCTCTACAGACCCTAACACCTGTCATCACAGGGAGCTCTCCCTGCCAAACAGCCCTCACCAACTCATACTCTGAGTCATCTCTTGAATATGAGGACAGAAAAGCTAATATAACAATCAACTTCAAGACAAAGGAAAAGCATGTTTCAAGTCAATGAAAAGCAACCCATAAGCTCAGAGGCCTTGAGAGCCTCCTTCTCAGCAAGAACAGAGAAACAACTAATTCTGAAAACTAGTTCATTTGTAAGATGATGACCTTAAATGCCCCCTAATTAGAGTACAGTAAGTAGGTCTAGTTTAAAATTAATTTTTAAGAGAAAAATCCTACAGCTCTGCTCTCTGTGGAAGAACCATACTCTAAAATTAGCAGCTAATAAAGTCCTTCTTTCAAAGACTTATGTCAGCATTTAAGGAGACAGGATACTGTCACATTTGTGAGCACAGGACTTGATGTGACCTACCCGGCATAGATAGGCCCTGGCAAACACTGACACCAGTGGGTCTCCAATCCCTCGAATCATGCAAGTTAGGCGGGGCAAACATTCTGAGATCCCCCTGTTAGAAACAAAAGATGGCAGAGAGCATTACACCCTATGTGAGACCTCCCTGTACTTTGTTTTTAAAACAAAGACAAAGCCAAACTTCCTAAATTTAGGGGGCAAAAAAAAAAATTGGATTTCAGAAACAAACTAAGGTCAAAGTTTCAGAGTTTTCTAAGGCTATGTAATAACAGTCTTTCCCTCACTCACAATTCATTCATTGAATGGTTTCTTTCATTTTACCACTTGTTAGTGCTGTAGTCTAACCTTCACTTTTTCTGCTGTCACATTTACTTTACTAGGTAAATTTAGCAGTTTTTGTCCCCCAGTTATTTTCTGTGGATGGGTACCTCCTAATTTTCTCAATATTCTCACTGTTATCTACAGGGGTGGGCAAAAGGCGGTTTACAGTTTTAATACAAATACAATAATTAATAAACAATACAAAAATAAACTGTTTTACATTCTCACAATTATAAACCTTTTGCCCAGCCCCAAATAGTCCTTTGGCACTGACTTACTGTCCTGTGCTCTGACCTTCCCCATCACCCAATACCTACAACTCCAGGTTGGCATGAGTATCCCCCATCAGTGGGGACTGTGCTGTATGTATTTCTCCTGTGACATGGAGCTGACTACCTCTGCCTGGGGCATTATGCTTCCCCCAATGGTGAGGCAAAATAACTGTTCCTTCTACACCAATGTTTTCCCCACAAACGACCCCAGACATTCCTAAATCCCAATCAAACCCATTTGAACACTAGATTCTAAACTACTCCATGGAGCACCTTGAGTCAGCCATGGCATTGAGGAGTTAATTATCTACACACCACCCAACAAGACTCAAGATTTCCTGACTCTACAGAAAGAAGCTCGTGTTGCCCCAAGCTCTGTAAACTACTCTCAAAACAATGTCTGTAGTGACCCAGGGTAGTCTGGGGTTCAAGAGCAAAGGCTTTTGTATCTGACATTGTTATCTTCATCACCATGTTAGACAGCATCAGTAAACAGAGTCCAGGCCAATGCCTGCCAGGTTTGGCTCTTAGTGTGGTGTACGCAGCTCAATGGAGCCTCCCAGACCTCTTAAAGTCTCGTTCACAGAGGAGGAGGCTCAGGGTCAGAGAAGCTAAACAACTTGCTCAAGAGCACATGATTATAACAATGGCAGATCCAGGATTCAAATCCAGCTGAGCTGATCTCCTATGAGCTATTTAATCAACCTCTGCTAGCTCGAGTTTATTTAACAGTGAGATGAGGATTAAAATGATATCTCTACTTCATTAGGTTTTCATGTGGATTAAATAAGAAAATGCATGGAAAATATGCTACTAAGTATACAACTACTAAGTAACAGCTACTATTATTACATTGCCATTAGTGTGTGTGGGGTGGGGGACAAACTGATTTTTTGTAAGTGCTATGGCTCTGGACATTTCAGAAGAAAGAGCCTTACGTTTTGGACAGGAACTTGTTACACTTCAGAATGGATGCTTCCACATAACTACAAAAGCATTCCGTTAAGAAAAGACACTTTCCGGAAGGCCTGTTCCTTAGGAGAAAAAAACTAAACTCTTTTATTTAAACATTTTTTTATTGTTCAAGTACAGTTGTCTGCCGTTTCCTAAAAAACTAAACTCTTCATGAACAGCACTAGGTATGTCTTCAAAGGGGGAGCCATAATGGCTCTCAACAACCCAGACAATTAAGTTAGCTAGTGGCTTGTGGTTTCTATATTTGGCTTTCAAAGTTTTATATCTTTTTAAACTAAAACTTGGAAAATGTTACAAGCTGGCTCATGGCTGCATGCTGAAATACAAAGTAGTTTTTGAGCCTTTCCAATCAAGACTTATGGGAAAAAATGAACTTCAAATAACTAAGATTCAATTTGTGTGTAAGTCGAATTATCTGTTCTTCAATATTGGCATTGTGCAGAGAAGCTTGACCCTGTTCCTATCAAATTCCAGGAACCAGAGAAAACACGTGAAAATGAAGCACTAATATTGAAAGAATGTATGTGGGAATTCCTCACTGGAAACAAAGCCTGGTACATGGCATCATATTTAAAGTAAAAAACTAGAAAAGTGTTAAAAGAAAGCAAGAGTCCAAGAGCTTTTCTAGAGTGTGGTGGCCCTGTATTTCCAGGCTGGCAACTGTAATGGGATCATATTTTCAACAGGAGTTCAGAGCATCCCATCACATGCCTTCTTTTAGCAAGCAAGTAACTCTTTTTTGCCTCTTTAAAATCCTCAGACAATAAAAAAAGGATACAATCTTGGAATGAGTTCCCTGATGGAAGCAATCTTGAAAAACCAATTTAAGCATGTTTCTTTGGCGGTGTCATTTACATTCTCTGGAGAGAAGTCATCTGTAACACAAAAATAATACCCATTAGCCTTCCTAATTCTCAGCATCTATTACAGATGCTTTGAGTCCAGGGCTACTAAAACATAGTAGAACAGAAGAAGGGGTGGGGTGCCTAGTTCTTCCATCCCTTTCCTTCCAAATTTTATTATTAGGAAACAATTGATGACAATGAGAGTTTACACAAGTGCTGGTGCTATTCAGAGTGTTAAATTTAGTCTGCTCACTTAATCCCCACAATAGCCCTCTGAAGTATGTACTTTTATTATCATCTTTTCCAAGGCACAGAGAATTTTAACAACGCGCCCAAGGCACAGAGCAAGCAAATTTAAGAGCTAGAATTCAACTCAGGCAGTCTGGCTGCACAACCTACAGTCTCTTAGCCATTGCTCTAATATAATTCTTGGTGTACCCACAAGTAACTACAACAATATTGTTGAGAATTCCAGAATCTTTACAAACCTGCAACTGTAACATGAAATGTGAATGACATCTGTGTTCTAACTAGCACATGGGCCAGACTTAAAGGTAAATCAAGGCACTCTGGTGAGAGAGCAGCCAATACTGGCTCTCAGACCTAAGTCATTTCTGGAAACACTGCCAGTTTCTCCCATTATCTGTTCTCTTCCCCTTCAATGACAGACCTCTCACTTTTCTGCTGGGCAAATGGACATCCTTGTAGCTAGGTATGGCCATATGACCAACTTCTGGTCCTAGGATGTCAACAGAAGTACAATTTCTAGGAAATAGCTTTAAAAGAAGGGACTTCACCTTCTTCACTCTTTTTTCCTTCCTGCTGGCTGGAATGAGGTGTGAAGGCTGGGACCTCCGTAACCATCTCAAACCATGAGGGCAACAAGAAAGAAATCAGGATCCCTGGCACCATGAAATAGCTGTCCCACCAGCACTGACCGTCTCCGTTGTTATTTTGAGCTTTCTGGCACTGACACCCAAGCCTAATGTTAAAATACATCTTAATAAGGAATGGACGTGCAGAAAAAATGGAAAAACAAAACAAAAAACCAAAAACAAACACAGAACTCATCAACACCAAGGCCATTTTATTGAACTCTAGAATGGAAATGACTTCTTCTCCATGGTTTCTATACAGATTAGAGCCTGATTGTACCACAGGCTGTGCTTTATACTTTTAGGATTCAATCAGAAAGGGAAAAGTTAATTATTTTAGAATACAGCAAATGAATGTTGGCTTCTTGGCTCTCATCTTGTTCAGGGAGTCAGTTTTTGCCCCTGATTCTGCTTTATACTACAATAAGGTGATGAAAACTCCTATGGAATCAGCAAAAGATAAACCTGCAAGTACTCCACTAGCAGAGAACAGTCACTATACAACTGCTGATATTTTGGAATTGCAATCTTAAGTAATAACCTATTTTTAGATAGTCTCACTTGCATCATTCATTCCCAAATAATTTTTCCATTTTCAAAGGGAAGGGGAATTACCATCTTCCCTTTCCTGGCTTAAACCTGTGCAGTTAGCATGTTTTCAAGTTCCAAGAGATCCAAACAAGAAAATATGAAAACAATTCTGAAATTCACTTGCCAATGTCATGTAGAAAATGGAGAGGTGGGATTAATTTCCCTTCACATGACTGAATCATGTGACTTGAAATCCCAAAGCAAAAATAAGTCTCTGAGGTCTTCTAATAAAATCCTTTCCAGTTGTAGGAAAGGAGATTCAGTGAAGGGTGTACATACTGACTACAAGCTATGTAATAATCAGCATTCTCAGCTCAAGAAAAAATTTAGGTAAAGTTTTATGTTATATAAGACTTTAAAATACTATAGCCAATTAAATATAATATTCCTTTATTTTATTGCTCAAGGCAAATGTTTTGAGAAGCAACTAAAGGTAGTGCTCTAGGCTCTGGAGAGAGAACAGTACATAAGACACACCCTGTTCTCTTGAAGTTTACATTCCAATGGGGGAAGAAACATAATAAACAAGAAAAAGCATAAGCATGCAAATAAGGAAATATCTAGTAGCAGTCAAATGATAAAAGATATAAAACCAAGTTATTAGACAAAAGAGTGACTTCAGTAGGGAGTTGGTTGGAGTCATTAGACAGGGTGGTCAGAGAAGGCTCCTGCAGAGATGGCATTTGAGCTGAGCCCTGAATGACAAAAAGGAGCCATCCATGCTTCAGTCTGGAAGACATGTATTTGCAGGAAGAAGAAACAGCAAATGCAAAGGTCCTGAAATAGCTATGACTGATGACATGGACAAAGAATAGGAAATCAAGCCAATGTGGCAAGCAAGGAGAGAAGCAGGCACAACAAGCCAGATCATATAGGGCTGTAGCCTTGATGAAGAGTTTGAGAATTTCTCTAATTGTAATGAAAGCTCCCTGAAGAGTTCTGAGCAGAGGGATGACATGCCATGATTTATACTTTGACACTTGGGCTGCTATGTGGAGAATGAATTCAGAATTCGGAATTTAATTCAGAAGGGACTTCAGTATAACAAATGCCAAAGATTTTTCCTTCAGGTTCCCATTTAATTTTCTTATGGTACTTCTTTTACTAACCCTGACCTTCTGAGGCGACTTTAGGAGGAGGGAGAAGGCCAATGAGTTGAGTTCCCTGTCACACGCAATGTCTCTACAGTAGCAATGAAAGCTTTCTTTACATCACAGTGCTTATAGGAATGCAGTGTCATCTTAGCAGGTGCTGAAAGAAAGCCGTATCAGTCAAGGGCCCTGCTTATCCAGATGCAGCCCACCTCAGCCATGGGGAAAACTGAAGATGGGAATGCGGCTGATGACAAAAACCACAACACAATAAACTTAAGTTATTTCTGCCAAGATGAAAATAAAATTATAGAGTACATGGTCTCTTCACACATATGCTGGATTAAGAGATAATGGGAAAAACATTACTACATCTAGTAGTATATCCTTTCTATGAGCCCAAAGGATGCTGGTATCTTTTTAAAGTCATAAGTCAGGCCTTAGTTAAACCTCCTGAAAGCAAAGGCTCAGAAATTAAAGTCACTAATCAGAACTTGATTCAAATGGAAAACATGAATAATGCCACCAGGTTCCTCTCTAAACTTACTTCTTTAGGCAGAATTCTGCACAGTTGATTTCAAAAGCTTTATTCATAATTATTGTGAAGATTCATCCCAGAGATTACAAACATTTTTGAGAAAGGTCTGCCTCTATCCCTTTCAAGTTCTTGGGACCAGAAAACACATGTAAATGAAGATTTTAACTAAGGTGGGATGAAGAAATTATTTTCAAGAAAGCAAAAGCCTGAATGCATTGCTCAAGTTACTAAAAAAAAGTTATTTCAGGGAGGAAGAATTTTAGTGATAAAAGTGTTAATAACTTCAGACAAGAACTAGAAGTAAATATGAAAATCTCTTTGTATGTTAAACTTTTAGGTAATTAGTAAGTTATTAGTAATTTTTTTCTTACTTGGTTCTAAAATGTTTGTATAGTTAGTAAAAATTGGGAGGAAAGAAAATTATTACAGTAGATGCAAACTCAAATGCTTCTGGGGGTCAGGCAGGTAATATATTTTTAAGCAGTTAGGTACATAACAATAGGAAGTAGTAGAACCTATATAAAAAAAAACATTAAAAAAATACTGTTGTAGCCAAGGAAAACACCTATTTTAGGTTTAATTCTGCCTGCAGGCTGAGAGTAAACTACTGCTGGCATTGCCCATGGAGGATAAGCTGGCAGGTATAAAATAAAAGCACCTGGATTGGTCAAATCTTTAAGCTCACAGAGAAAGCCTTTCCATTCAGGAGCTCCCTGCCTACCTTCCCAGGCTCACAGCCTCCTAATCTTGAGACACCTAGAACATGGGAAGGGACTTTTAAAAACGTAACAGATGTGATGTGGTGGCAGGGAGGATCTAGAACAGTGCTGTCCAATAGAAATACCATGTGAACCCATTCCAAAAGGTAAATCAAAGCAGGAGAAATGTATACTTGATTAACCTGACTTATCCAAAACACCATTTCAGTGTATAATCAGTATTAAAAAAATTATTAGTGAGATACTTTATAATCTTTTATTTGTATTAAGTCTCTGAAATCTACCATATTTTTTAATATTCACAGCACATCTCAGTTTGGACTGGCCAGATATCAAGTGCTCAAGAGCCCCATGTGACCAGTGCCTGCACGTTCAGCAACTTAGCAAGATGGCAGCAAGGCTGTGGGCAAAAGTCCCTGACTATTTTGCACTGGGTCTGCCCAATTATAATGAGACAAGATTATTTCTAAGAGCTCTTCTAGCCCTAAAGGTCTATAGGCTCTGCCTCTTTCTGAGACATATGTATATCAAAGTTTCAAAAATATATAGACATGTAGATGGATGAAACAAATAAAGAATGGATAAATAAATAAATGAATGAAGAGGTCAAATTATGAGTTACTGTTGCTGATGTCATCATCTGGTTAGGAGTAGCAGGTGGTAAAATGAAGGAGAAACAAACTTACTCTAAGGATAAGAACGTTTACTCACATCAGTCTAGGAAATTGAAAAGAGGGATAAAAGGAAAAGGAAGCTGCTGGTGTGAGTTCCATGTTACTAGACACATCATCACCATTTATATGACAAAAAAAATTCATGGAATGCAGATTGGTGCAGCCACTATGGAAAGAGGTGTGGAGATACTTCAAAACATAAAAAATGGATCTGCCTTTGGATGTAGCAATCCCTCTTTCAATAATATATCTAAAGAAACCCAAAACACTAATTCAAAAGAATATAAGCATCCCTATGTTCACTGTAGCATTATTTATAATCACCATGATATGGGAACAGCCCAAGTATTCACCAATAGGTAAGTGGATAAAACAACTAATGGGACATTTACACAGTGGACTACTACTCAGTAAAAAAGAAAAGAAAATTTTACCCTTTACAACAATATGGATAGACCTGGAGAACATTATGCTAAGTGAAATAAGCCAGTCAGAGAAATACAAATACCATATGATTTTACTTGTATTTGGAATCTAATGAACAAACTGAACACAGAAAATGAGGACAGACTCATAGACGGAGAGGATGACAGCTAGAGGGGGAAAGGTTATAAGGTGGAGGGATTGTGCAAAAAAGAAAAGGACTCATGGACATGGACAAGTGTGGTGATTGCTGGGGGAAGGGGGAATAAGTGAACTAAATGTTAATGAAAAAACAATAAAAATTAAATTAAAAAAAGGAATTCATCATATACTCCCATTATAACCTCCTGAGAATTTAAAATTGACTGGCAATAAGCTTAATGCAAACTTGGGCAAAGATTGTAGAGGCAAAGCATCTGTTACTGATTTATTTGATGGGTTTTTTAAAGCAATTTGCTTCTTAGGAAAAACATTAAAATATCAAGCAGCAGAGGAATTTAAGTTGATGTGAAAGTTCAGATGAATCTAAATGCAACAACACCTTTTCATTCCTGCACATTCAAATTATTTGCCCAAATTCCTAGCGGGGCTGTTTGAAAACCTTCTGATATTATTAGAAGACAGATGATCAAAAATCTGTACAGATGTTTCTTTTACTTTTAGCAAACCAAAAATAAAAAACTTTTATTGGGTCTCAATAAATCCTGATTTCATATAAACTGAATCCTGACTCCAAGGCAAAATAAAATCGTTGCAGTAACTATGACATTACCTGGTAAGACGCGGTCACCCACACACATGGAAAAGATGCGGTCAAACACGAGATTTCCTGGAAAGGAAAAGATAGTATCATGCTCTTCAGAAGTAAATCTTTTTGTTAACCAAATAAATCTTTTGTTAACTGGGGTCACAGACAGCGCCCAGATAAACTTTAACTTGTGGTAATATGCTGCCACCAATAGGACAAATTTTAAGCCACATTTCTTTGTTTTTATTTTTTTTTTAAGATTTTATTTATTTATTTATTTTAGAGAGGGAAGGGAGGGAGAGGGGGGAGAGAGAGAGAGAGAGAGAGAGAGAGAGAGAGAGAGAGGAACGTCAATGTGCGGTTGCTGGGGGCCGTGGCCTGCAACCCATGAATGTACCCTGGCTGGGAATCGAACCCGGGACACTTTGGTTCCCAGCCCGCGCTCAATCCACTGAGCTACGCCAGCCAGGTCTTTGTTTTTATTTTTAATAAAAGGGATTTTTACTTTCTGTGAGAGGCTGGTAAATGTTCACTCTCCTCTTTGAGTCAGCTGGAACATATGGTCAAAAAAGCCTCAGATACCTCCCATTCATGCAACAGAGAATGGTGTACATTAGACTCTATATGAGAGGTTGCAAATGGACAGCCTATAGGCTGAATCCAGCAGTGATCAATTTTGTTTGGCCCATCACACGATGGCCCACAAAGTGTTTTAATATTTTTTTGAATTAGCTGCCAACATGTAATAATTGGGAGAATTTACATGAAAACCCAGATTTCTGCTTCTTCACATGTAATGTGCCAAAAACAGGCCCATATCCCTATAGGATAAAAATCAGCTAGAACAGAGTAGCTTCCCTAAAATGGCTTATAACCAGTTTGCCAGTCTCCCACTCACCAGCCTGCTTCACTCATTTATGTGATTGGACTGATACCCAGAAGCAGTTATGTACACTGACATATTCCCAGTACCCAAACTGCTGCCTGGTATACAGTTGCAAATACTCAATTCTGCTATAATAGCTCAAAAGCCAATAAAGACAGTATGTATATAAATGGATGTGCTTGTGTTCCAATAAAACTTTATTTACAAAACCAAGAGGGTAGTCTGGACTTGGTCTATAGACCAATCCCTAACCTAGCACAAAAAGCTTTGTGTATTCCATGCATGGTATTTAGAAAAAGCCATCAATATTCAAGGGATAAAATTTACAGTTCTATTCATTTCCTTGACCCTCCCAAATCACTTTTAACATCAAAAGTATTTCCCTGTGCCATGTGTTTCTTTATTCTCTCATAACTCCATCATTCAAGGCAGTAAAGAACCACGTACCTTATCCATACATAGAAAAAGAGCCAGGAAAGCTGTAAGGAGTATTTTTGGTCCAAGAACAGGAGATAAAGTGAAATCATCAAGTAATCACCAGTAATATATTATGGTCAAGAAGCCAGCCAAGAGGAGCCATCTAGGTTCTTTGTCCAGTGTAGACTACTTACACTACATTAACCTAAAGACACTTGCTGAAAACGCACATTCCTGGGGACCAGCTCAGAGCATGTGAAAAATAGTATTTTAGGAGGTGAAGACTAGGAATATGCATTTCAAGTAACCTGGCTAAGGAATTTTTATATACACTCAAGTATGAGAACCAGTGATTCAGGCAGGAAGCATTTTTAATTTTTTTAATATATATTTTTTATTTTCATTGTTTAATTGTTTTAAAGATTTTATTTATTTTTAGAGAGAGGGGAAGGGAAGGAGAAAGACAGGGAGAGAAATATCAATGTGCAGTTGCCTCTCACATGCCTCCCCCCCATACTGGGGCCCTGCCCTGCAACCCAGGCATGTGCCCTGATGGAGAATTGAACTGGCAACCCTTTGGTTCACAGACCCGCGCTCAATCCACTGAGAAACACCAGCCAGGGCCATATATTTTCTTGATTATGCAATTATAGTTGTCCCATTTTTTTCTCCCCTTTATTCTCCTCCACCCTACATCCCTACTGCCATTAGAATCCCCTCCACCCCACACACTTAGTTCATGTCCATGGTGGGTCATACATATAAGTTCTTTGGCTTCTCCATTGCCCATATTATTCTTAATTTCCCCATTTATTTTGTACCTACCTTTTATGCTTCTTATTCCCTGTACTTATTCCTCCACTCTCCCCCATCACCCTCTCCACTGATAACCCCTCATGTGATCTACATTTCTGTGATTCTGTTCCTGTTTTAGTTGTTTGCAGAGTTTGTTTTTGTTTTTGGTTCAGTTGTTGATAGTTGTGAGTTTGTTGTCATTTTACTGTTCATATTTTTTATCATCTTCTTTTTCTTACATTCCTTTAACATTTCATATAATAAGGGCTTGGTGATGATGAACTCCTCTAACTTGACCTTATCTGGAAAGCACTTCATCTGCCCTTCCATTCTAAAAGATAGCTTTGCTGGATAGTCTTGGATGTAGGTCCTTGCCTTTCATGACTTTGAATACTCCTTTTCAGCCCCTTCTTGCCTGCAAGACTTCTTTGCAGAAATCAGCTGATAATCTAATGGGAACTCCTTTGTAGGTAACTGTCCCCTTTTCTCTTGCTGCTTTTAAGATACTCTCCTTATCTTTAATCTTGGGTGACTTAATTATGATGTGCCTTGGTGTGTTCCTCCTTGGGTCTAACTTCTTTGGGACTCTAGGAGCTTCCTGGGCTTCCTAAGAGTCTATTTCCTTTGCCAGATTGGGGAAGTTCTCCTTCATTATTTTTTCAAGTAACTGTTTGATTTCTTGGTCTTCCTCGTCTCCTTCTGTCACCCCCCTGATTCAGATGTTGGAATGTATAAAGATGTCCTGGAGATTCCTGAGCCTCTCCTCATTTTTTTGAATTCTTGTTTCTTCATTCCGTTCTAGTTGAATGTTTGTTTCTTCCCTCTACTCCAAATGGTTGATTGGAGTCCTGGTTTCCTTCCAGTCACTGTCAGTTCCCGTACATTTCCCTTTATTTCACTTTGCAGAGCCTTCATTTCTTCCTCTATTTTGCAACCATACTCAACCATTTCCATTAGTGTCTGGATTACCAGTGTTTTGAACTCTGCATCTGACACACTGTCTATCTCTTTATCGTTGAATTCTACTTTTGGAGCTTTGATCAGTACATTCATTTGGATATTTTTTTTTATCTGTGTACCTTTTACATAGTAAGAGGCGGAGCCTTGCATATTAATTAGGGTGAGGCAACCCATGTAGCTGTGTTGCGATACTGTATGTGGAGCAGGGGCATGAGAGAGAACAATGCCACTTGCTCGGCTCTGCCTGCCTTTCATCACTTCTCCTGCTGCACACAGGCAAATTTGGCTCTTTCGGTGCTGATTCATGGGTGAGTGAGTTTGTGAATGTATGTTCTAGAGTCCTGTGGGCCTCTGCAACGAACTCTCTTGCGAGGCTGGGGGTTTCACCTCCCACTGCAACCCCCACAGATTTTTACTGCCAGAAGTTTTGAAGCTTTACTTCCCAGGGCTGGAACCCTGGGTTGCACAGTCTGTCTCGCTACCCAGTTGTTCCTCTTGGTTTATCTGCACCCATCTGTGGGACCACCCCCTCTGCCAGCTGCTGCCTTACTGGTCCACCAGCCACCGCTTCACCTGCCCTGTCCTCCAGCCACCATCTTGCCACATCTCCTCTCCACCCCAGTTGCCCATCTCCGTACCTCCGACCAGTCTGGGTAACTGTTTCTTCTTTAGCTCCTTGGTTGTCAGACTTCCATACAGTTTGATTTTCTGGAAGTTCTGGTCATTTTTTGTTTTTAAATGTGTTATCCTCCTTTTGGTTGTACAAAGAGGCAAAATGTATCCATCTACGCCTCCATCTTGGCCAGAAGTCCCATTTTTAATTTTAAAACTTACCTTGGATATAGCAATCTTTAAAAATATCAACAAGCCTTCTTCTTCCTTCTAAAGCAGTGGTTCTCAAACTTGGCTGAACATTCAGAATACCTGGGGCACCTGAAAATATGCTGATGCCTATGTCCATCCTCAGAAGATCTAATATATATGGTCTGGGGTACAGCATTATGATTGGGAATGTTATTAAGGCTCCACAGCTATGCTGCCAAGCATGAGAGCCACTGTTCCAAACCACTGCTTCATTTTAGACATTCCCAGGAAGCCTCAGAGAACACACTCCAGGTCTCAAAATGACCTGCCTTTGTCCTCCTGGCAGGAAGTATTTGGTTACCTGTGGTCATGGGCTCTCCATGGTAGCCTCTTCTGGTGCAGTAAGAGGCTGCCTCTGTGACAACCAAAGAACCAGGCACCGGGACTGCCTATTTTACCTTGGGACATCACAGTGAGCTACAGTGGGCAGCTGCCTAAATGCTCACCTCCTAGGGCACACAGACCAGTCTTAAGGGTATGGAATGCCTTTTCTTCCTTCACAAAAAAGCTTGCTATCTCTCTAAGACCACAATTTTTATATTTAATCTTCATACTCCAGGGATTTTAACAGTAAAATCACTTTGGCCAAACAATTTTGACGAATTTTTTTTCTTTTATTAAGCCAGTGGACAACTACTTTGAGAAATAATACCCAATCCTAGATTTATTTCCTTTCTTGGTCCATTTTCTAATAAACCAAAAACCCTAAAATACCTAAATAATGACAACAATACTAGCTAATATTTTCTGAGCACTTACTTTGTGTCAAGCACTGTTCAAAGTTGTTTACACTGATCCTGACAGCAAGCAATTGCAAGAAGAAAAACATTATATGCATCCTCTCATCTAATGCTCTCCAGAAAACCCACGAGGCAGGGGTGTATCATGCCCATTTTGCAAGGGAAGAAACCAAGGCTTACCTTTGGAGACAAGGCAAGAAATGCAGTCAGATTCAAGCCCAGCTCTGTGTTCAGGGCCTCTGTGAAATCCCAGTGAGAGCCCTCCTTGTACCTTCATACTGCAGATGCCTGGGCTGTGTCCCATATCCCCACCTAGCACAATTCTCCAGCCCCAACTAGTCCTGTCCACCACCATAGAACACCCCTGTACTGTCAAGCACCTCCTTGGGGAGCAGATGCATGAGATGGACCTCAGCACTCTGAGTTCCCATCCAAACAAGGCAGAGTCCACCCATTTTTTAAAAGGCAAAAACAGCTCAGTAGCCCCAAAGCAAAATGGAGTCTCCTTGAGCACCTGCAAGCTCAGGCTGCCCCACCATCCTGAGAAATAACATTCACCACAGATCCAGACATCAGCACCACTGGGAATGTCATTGGAAGGGGAGTAGAAGGAAAAAAGTGCTGAAGACAGATACTTGTTTGAATGTTCTATTTCAAATGGGGAAAACATTCGCATGGTTCAAAATTCCCAAAGGCAGTGGATGGCATTGACCAAAGTTTCACTCTCAGCCTGTCCCACTCACCTCACTGCTCCCACCACCCTCTAAGGGGTCCCACTTTTATTTATTTATTGGGTGTACTTCTGGTACTTCTTTAGACAAATACAAGGGAATATGCACAAAAATAGAACATTCTCTATAGCTGTTCTGCATCTTAATGTTTTCATATGATGATACAGCCTAGAGATCTTTCCAACTTAAAATACAGAGCATACCCTCAGTCTTAGAGGCCTCCTATTTCTCCAATGTACAGACATCCCCTATTGATGGACACCTAGATTATTTCCAGTCTTCTGTTGCTATACACTGGGATGAATTCCCAGAGGTGAAATTAGCATTTGTAATTTTCACAGAGAGCAAAATTTCCTCATGAGCCAAGTACAACAAAAATAAAATGGGTGATTTGACTGCAAAGAGAACTTACTACCCTTGTAATAGGGCTACCTATTTCTCTGTGCCTCAGATTCTTTACCTGTGAGATGGGGTAATTCCAGACCTTACCTCACAAGGATGTTGTGAAGACAATGTGACTTAGAATTTCTAAAGCACCAAAGAAAATGAGTCAGGCCAAAGGACATTATTTGTTGAGCGTTTATCTCCACCAGTCCTATCAACTTCTAGTCCGCCTATGACAGCAGGCATCTGCACTACATCCGGCTTGTTGAGGTTTGGGACTGGAGTCCACCAAGAGAGGCTGGCAGGATGGCAGCCCAAAATTCTCACAAGGTCAATGTTTGGATCTGGCCAGGCTCACCAGTTAGAAACTGGATCTCACTGGCATCCCTCGGCTTATCTAACATGGATGCTGACTCATGCAAAAGAAAGTTGAGGAGGCCAGTAAGGGGAACCAGAAGGCCAATGTGTTAATTCACCATGAGAAGTAGAACTGTCAGAAAGACCAGACATAGCCACCAACTTGTCTCCCTGGCTAATACCCTCACCCTGTGGTCATCCTGTGAAGACAACTGTGTATGAAGACAAGTGGAGGCCAAAGGAGTGTATGATTTGATATTTATTGGGACAGCCTAGTGCACCCATACTTTCTGGATCATTACCCCCATTTCCACCACTGTGCTGGGTCCACACCACCTTCATTTTCTAGCTGAAGTGCTACAATGGCCTCATCATTGGGCTCCCCATCCCTTGCTCTATAGTCTAGTCTCAACACAGCAGCCAGAGGGAGATCAAAAGAACTCAAAGCGGATGGCACCCCTGCTCTGTTTAACATTGCTGTAGCTCCTCATGTCCTTAAGTTCAAAGCTCAAGTCCTTCCAATGGCCTCCAAGGCCCACCTGGATCTCTTACCATGTTAGCTCCTGCCCTTCCTTGTTGCTCACCTTACTTCAGATAGCCTGGCCTCTCAGCTCTTCAAAACTGCCAGCCATGCTCCCACCCCAGTATCTTTATACCAGCTGTTCCTTGGCATAACCTGGCACTGCACTCCTACCTCCATAAAACACGTGGGTCCTCTCTCCCCTCCTTCAACTATTTACCCACATATTTTTTTTTTAGTGAGGCCTTTTCCAACCACCCTACTTAAAAGTATAGCCTTCCCATGCCTTGCCCATTCCCTCATTCCCCTAACCCTATTCTCATTTTTTTTACTCCACAGCACTGACTGTCATCTACTATACAGCTGGGTTTGCTTACTTGTTCTATAAACCCTCTTTTACTGGCACATAAGCCCAAAAAGGAAGGGATTTTTGTCTCTTATTTTCTGAGACACCCTCAGTGCCCAGCAGTGCCTAACACTGCCTCTCTGGGTCATTTGAACCTGAGATATCCTACTTTTGAGCTGGGGCATCACTTCTTTTAGGCCAGTTAGCTTCCATTCCCCTTTCTTCATACAACAGCCTAATCCAGAATAATCTGCTCATTTCATTCCCCAGATAACACAAACTGCTCAGGAGCTGGCATGTGATCCAAAGCAAGTCAATGAGATGGAATTCTGGGACTTTTATTTGCTTGGAATTGTTGGAATTTTGTTGGACTTTATTTGCTTAGAAAAATAAAGTTCTTTCCTTGTCCTAGGACTACTAGAAGTTAATAGAAGTGAGGGCACCTTGTAGAGTTTGAGAATGAAGCCAACTCAAGGAAAAGTACTAGAAAACATCACGATCCTGAAGACAATGTTTGAGTTTCTAAATCACCTGTACCTGAAACTAGAAACTACCCCTGGATTTTTCAAACTGAGCCAATAAATACCATCTTTTGCCAAGATTAGTATGAGTCAGGTTTTCTATCACTTGTTATAACTAATACATTCAGGTCCCTTGTCTGCTATAAAACTAAATGGGTCTCCCTGAAATTTGTTTTCTGACTCATTAGATCTTTTGATGAGTTATAAACAAGACTTGCAGGGCTAGGAGACCACTGGTCCTTCCTAGGTAAGGCAGTGAATGTCTCTGTTCTGACTGACTATGTATTCAGCTCTCAGAAGGCAACTGTTTGCTAGTTGTTATGGGGCACCTCATTGCTCAACATCATGTATCGCCTAAAAGGCTGTATGGTTTGGGCAAACTGCTAATGACATGATGCTCTGAACACTAACCATTGCCAAGAAGCACATAGGTCTCCTGTTTCTGCAGAGAGGGTTCAGGTATTCTTTTTAGTTCAGACCTCTCTGCTGGCCTCCCACAAATCATTCTTCCTGAGGGGTGGCACATGGGACAAGGAACAGCCACAATAATGTGAGAAAAGCTCATAAGAGCTGTAGCCATCATCCAGGTATGAGAGAATTATGGCCTGGACTAAGGATTTTCTCTGAAGACAGAAAAAATGGAATACTGGGGAGATTTAGGAAGCTGAATTGAAGAACTTAAGACTGGATGTGGGGCACAGGGGAGAAGACTCTCAGATTTTCAGCTTGGGCAACAAGATACATAGTGCTGCCATTTCCCCAGACAGAAACCCACTGAGGACCAAGGAAAGACTAGGAAGAAATTCTGAATTCAGTTCCAACAAAGTGAGTTCCAGGTGCCATGAGATAGCGATGGACTGCCGCTCATCTAGACAGGCTGCATGCTCACTTCCCTCACTTTCTTTAGTAGCCTATCAGAAGGTTAGAAAACACATAATTTAAAATTCTTTTGATAACAGTACCCTTGTTAAATAGCAAGGGAGTTTGGGGGGTCTCCCTTATGATTTGCCTATAATTAAACCACAACAGAACCTAATTTAAAGTAGCTCTACCACTCAACTTCTGGCAAAAAAAAATCTATTTCCTAGATCTAAAATGAATATGACTAGTACTTAGTACTTACCAAATGTATCAAGTATGTCAGTGATGAGGACAAATTTGCTTGGGTAGAACTGAATAACACTTGTGTCTGAAAGAAGCTTTGAACACTAAAAAAGAGAAGAGGAAAGAATATTAATTCTGTTGTGTCTCACTTGGTTAGAACACTCTAGGCCTGGAAAATTAACAATTTCTACAAACAAGTGCAGGTGCTTACCACATTTCAAGCCCTTGCGAGACATTGGAAATACAATGATAAGCAAAACCACTGTGTTTTTGACCATGACAGTGAGACTCTACTCACAACAGAGCCTCTTAAGGAAAGACACTACCACCTTCCTCCAGGAACACCAAAGGACTGAGAGATCTCATCCAAAAGGGCCTCTGCTCATATACCAAACTAGGGTCAGCACTCGAGGTCAGCAAAGGAAGTCAATGACTTCCCATAAATGCCTTTGCAGATGATTCCCATCTTTGTTCCAGCTGCTTTTCAGCATGGCTACCTCTGGTTTATTTCAGGATAGTCTCAATTCTTAATCATTCTTTTCTGTGAAATGACCCCGTAAGTAAATTTCCAGGACTTCTTAAAACTAGCATCTACCATTTACACTCACTCCCAAATATCCCTCTAAAAGAAACATGATAGGCTTCAGCGAGTTCACATTTCTCTGGACTATGGTCTTCAACACTGCAAGTATCTGGGTTCCACAGGGACTTGCTCAATCTACAAGCCATCACTCAAGCTAGGGGAGCACTGACATGTTCAGGACTCTTAATAGAAAACTGCAGTCACACAACTTGGCCTTAAATACTTGAGATTAAGTCATCATTTATGCCCTGGCTGATGTGGCTCAGTGGATTGAGCACTGGCCTGAGAACCAAAAGGTCACAGGTTCAATTCCTGGTCAGGGTACATGCCTGGGTTGCAGGCCAGGTCCCCAGGTGGAGGCACGCAAAAGGCCAACTGTATCTCTCATATGTCCATGTTTCTCTCCCTTTCTTTCTCCCTTCCCCTCTCTCTAAAAATAAAAAAATTAAACAAAAGCCATCATTTATAATCAGAAACAAAACAAGAAAAATGATTTCTACTTTAAAGAACTAAATTTAATGCCCCAAAGTATTTACAAATTAAAAAGTCAGCATAAAGAACTAAAGAACCTTGCCCTATTTTATCATTCCAATGGTTGACCCTCAGAGAGAAAAATGTCACTTAAAAATATTTGGGCATTTAATATGCATTTCCAACCTGCAGAGAATGGTTACATGTTCATCCTATCAAGAAGCAGACTATCATGCCCTGCCTGATGTGGTTCAGTGGACTGAGTGCCAGACTGCTAACCAAAGGGTCGATGGTTCGATTCCCAGACAGGGCACATGCCTGGGTTGTAGGCCAGGTCCCCAGTAGGGGGCGCTCAAGAGGCAACCACACACTGATGTTTCTCTCCCTTTCTTTCTCCCACTCTTCCCCTCTGTCTAAAAATAAATAAATAAAACTTAAAAAAAAAGAAGCTGCCATCTGTTCTCACTTTGTTACCCAGTTATCTAAATTGTTACATCACCGAGTTTCTCCCAGAACTACATGCTTAAAAGTAACATGTCTAATTTGTAAAACATCCTCTTATAGACCAAATATTATTTGGGGGAGGGGGCGGAAGGAAAAATAAGCTGTTAAAACAATGGTGTTGACACCAAACATGGCATTTGCAGAACTCTATTTTCTGATGCCCTGCTTTGTGTTTTATCTATGTCCTTTGTGAGTGCTCCAATCCAACTTAAACAATTACCCCATGAAATTTCAGGGCTTGGAAAATGCAAACAACGCTGAGTCTTAGAGACTGCTTATAATACACAACTCTTGATTCCTAGGGATGTCAAATCTCCCAAGCTCTTACCCAGAGGCCTCACAGATAAATTGGTGCCCACTCGGGAGGTGAGAGAAAGAGAACTCAAACAAAAGATTTCAAATTAAACACAGCTGGGGCTTCCCAACATTTGTGCATTGATTTGTCTCCTAACCTGGTGTCACAGAACATATTTTATAAAAGATAACAGGAAGCAGAGCTTTTTTAAAATCCAAAGTTAAAGTCATAATAATGTTATGAATTGAAGTTACCTTTTAAATCACAATTTTGAAGATTCCTCAAGATTTTAAAGCTTTGGTGCAGTTTCAGAACCCCAGGGTATGTATTAAAAATACAGATTCTCTGCTCCATGCTAAACCTACTTTCCAAATCCTCCAGGGGGGCACCAGGTAATCAGTATTTTTAACAAGAGCTCTAGGACATCCACTTCACAGGACATCCACAATGTGCAGCAGACTCTGAATGGACTAAGCATTCTACAAGCCAGTGTTTGGAATCATCTGGGGAGCTTTGAAAATAATGGTGCCTGGGACCCACTCCCAGAGATCCTGATAAAGCTAATTTTGGGTATTAGTGTGGACTCTGGAGATTTTAAAGCCCCCACCTGATTCTAACATCCTGCCGAGGCTGAGAACCACTGTTACAAACTTTACCTGAAGTACTAATAAATTACTCTACCTGAAATACTTGCTATCAAATTTATTAACATTGCTAGAAAAATATTAAAAAGGTATTTTCCATTTGTTTCCAATTAGCAACACTCTAATTTAAAGGAACACTAGGAGTTTCTAATTATCAGGATTTTTTAAAAATTGATTAATCAAAGCAAATGGAGGAACCACACTAAATGATGAGAGAACAATTACTACCCAGAATACATGAAAAAATATCCTAAAAATCAATATAAAAAATACAAAAAAATAATTAAAAAATGAGCAAATAGAATTGACTAAAGGCATTTGTTTTACAGAAAAGGAAATCCCAGTTGTTAGTAAACATGTGAAAAGATGATCAATATTATTATAATCAGGGAATAGCAAATTAAAACCACCATAAAATAGGATTTTATCACCTCCCAATTTTAAAAAAATGAAGACAGAAAGTCTGCTCATACCAAATGTGGAGAGGATGCTGAATAGCACAGACATACTGCCACTGCTACTGCAAGCATATCAGCTGACACAGCTACTTTGGAAAATAACGGTATTGTACACACCCTGCACCAAGCAACTCCACTCTGAGGTATGAACCATCATCACAGAAAAACCAGCAGACATGTCCAAGAGTGTTCACGTAACACTATTCATAATAATGAAAAAAGAAAAAGCAAGAACCAGATGCCCATCGACAAAATAAATGACACATAATTCATACACCAGTAGACTCACTATTGTTAAGATGGCAAATCTCTCTAATTGACCTATAGGGTCAACACAATCCCTATCAAAATCCCAGAAGGTTTGTTTGTTTGGGGAGGTGGAAAGAAATTGACAAGCAATTCCAAAAACCATATAGAAATGCAAAGCACCAAGAAGAGTTAAAACAGCTTTGAAAAAACAACAACAAAGTGAAAAGACTTATACTACCCAGTTTCAAAACTTACCATAAAACTATAGTACTCAAGACAATGTGCTACTGGCATAAGGAAAGACTTACAGATCTGTGGAACACACTTGAGAGTCCAGAAATAAACCCATATGTTTACAGTCAGTTGACTTTTGACAAAGGTGTCAAGATACTTCAATAAGGGAAAGATAGTCTTTCTAACAAATGTGGCTGAAACAATTGGCCATCCACATGCAAAAAATTAAATTTATGTTCTTATACCATACACAGAAATTAATTCAAAATGGACCACAGACCTAGACATAAGAACTAAAACTGTAAAACTTCCACAGCTATGAGCCAAAAGAGAGAGAATTAATTAACTGAACTTCATTAAAATTAAAAATGTCTACACTTCAAAAGACACCACTATGAAAATCAAAAGACAGGCCACATACTAAACAAAAAATACCTTTAGAGCATATATTTATTTGATAAAGAATTTGAATCAAGAATATATAAAGAATTATTACTATTCAAAAAGAAGATAAACAACCTGATTTTAAAAATGGACAAGCCTTGAATAGATATTTCACTAAAAGAAGATATAAAAATGGCCAATAAGCACATGAAAAGATATTCAACATCATTAGTTAGCAGGGAAATTACAAATTAAAACCACAATGAGCCCTGGGCTGGAGCATCATCCATGCACCAGAGGTTGTGGGTTTGATTCCAGGGTAGTGCAAACGCCTAGGTTGTGGATTTGATCCCCAGACAGGGTACATACAGGAGACAACCGATTAATGTTTCTCTCTGACATTACTGTCTGTCTTTCTCTCTCCATCGCCCCCTCCACCTCTTCTCTCTCTAAAATCAATGAAGACATGTCCTCCTGGCTGGCACAGCTCAGTGGATTGAGCGTGGGCTGCAAACCAAAGCATTGCAGGTTCAATTCCCAGTCAGGGCACATGCCTGGGTTGCAGGCCACAGCCCCCAGCAACCACACATTGATGTTTCTCTCTCTCTCTCTTTCTCCCTCCCTTTCCTCTCTAAAAATAAATAAATAAAATATTTTTTAAAAAGTATAGATTAAAAAAAAGACATGTCTTTGGGTGAGGATTAAAAACATAAAACACAATAAGATGCCACTTCAAAACCACAAGAAGGCTATAATCAAAAAGATAGAGAACAACTATTTTAAGAGCTAGAACATCCACACAGTGCTGGCAGGAATACAAGTGGTGCAGCCATTTTGGAAAACAGGTTGGCCATTTCTCAAAAAGTTAAACATAAACACACCATGTGGCTCAGGAATTCCTCTCCTAGGAATCTACTCAAAAGAAATGAAAACACATGTCCACACAAAGACCTGTATGCAAATATTCATAGTAGCATTACTTATAAGAGTCAGAGTGGAAACAGTCTAAATGTCCATCAGTTCATTAATGGATAAGTAAAATGTGGTTATCCAGACACTGGAATACCAGTCAGCAGTAAAATGGTATAAAGTACTGGCACTATGACAGGGAGAAATCTCAAAAACATTATGCTAAGGAAAAAAGAAAAAGTAAATGATTATATACTGAATGATCCCACATACATGAAATGTCTAGAAAATGAAAGTTTAGAGCATCAAAAGCAGATTAGTAGTTTTCTGGGACCAGAAGTGACAGCAAGGTTTAACTGCAAACATGCTTGAGGGAACCTGAAGGGGAGGGTAATGAAAATGTTCTAACAGTGGATTGTGTAATCGTTGCATAACTCTATAAACTCACTAAAAATCACTGAATTGCACACTCACAATGCTGGATTTTAGGATATGTAAAATATATCTCAATAAAGCTACAAAAACAGAAACCTTCTTGCAGAGCAAATAAAGTGAACTGGTCCCATTTCTACACACTCTGCAACTTGACTATCATTATTAAATAAAGAAGGTAGTCTTTAAAGTATTAAAAGCAAGACAGTTACAATTAACCAGGTGTGGAGTTAATCAAACTTGTCCACAGTTCTTTTCTTTGAGAAGACACAAATCTCCTCCAGCTGTAAAATTCAGAAGTCACAGTTCTATACTGCAATACTCTATGTAGAGATGTTGCCAATAAAAATATCCTGAAGAAGCAATTGTTAGATTATTTTCTCACTTGAGCCCCTCAGCAAGCAAGCCCATATCATGTGCATCCAGATGAGAAGACCCTTCTTCATGGGTATTTACTTTGAAAACTAACAGTGATTAAAAGGCTTGGTCATGAAATACTCAAAAAATAGTGTCTGCCATATAAAGCGCCCATCGTAACAGATTTCAAGCACCCACTGCAAAGGCTCCCATGCTCTCCTAACCCTCTCTCCAAAGTAAAAAGTGAGAAAATAAATGTCACATTGTCATGACATTAAACAAAAATGGGATTTGTCCTTTTGAACTAAAATGGTTATTCAGAAAGTCTCCATTAACTGTGCTGTGAAAATCATAATGCACACATTATTTTTTAGAGTATTTCTCAGCATGGTTTGCCAAGACAGGATAATCTTAAGGGTCAAGAAACAGAATAAGCTCTTTTCCTTACAAACTTTTTCTTAAGATCTAAGAGTTGTCACAGATCAACAAATTCATGAACAAAATGGACTCACCAAATGTAACTCTCCTAATACCATATATATGGTTTTTTTGTCACATAGTTATGCAGAATATGACCCAAAAATGTACATATCAGGGACACGCAACCATTAGTCCCAAAAACACAAAGAAAATCTGGTCAAGGAAACCCAAAATACAGTTGTCAACCTCCAGTCTGTACAAATCACAAATGCTCCAGTAACTGTACAGGCCAATGAACTAACTGCACAACCCAGAGGGCACCATTAATACTGTATGTAGGGTGAGTTTACTGGAATTGTGCAGTGCACAACCTGTACAGCTGCACATGGTGGCAGTAGGATTAGCCATCTCATAAAAACAGATTCATAGGAAGTATGTGAAAGTAGAAGTTGAGAAAAGTAGGCCTATAAAAATCCTAATTATCCACAAAGGAGTTTTACATGGGAAACTAAGAAGAAAAAGAAAAAAAAAATCACTAGACCTGACCTGAATGACTATTTTTAGAGCCTTTACTTTCTGGTCCGAGGCCCAGGCATCCTTCAGTGACTGGTTAAGCTCCTCTATGCGGTTCACATAATCCTGTTGAGTCAAATTCAACAGTTCCTTTTGGGATCCCTGTGGGGAGAAAGCAGGAAAATGTAAGCACAAAAGGAAAACACTGGCTGAGCCTTGCTCTCTAAGTTTTCCTCATATGCACACCAGGATTGATAGTTTTGTCTTGTGAACAAACAGTTTCTTCCAGTTTTCTGCAAAGGTGGGAAAAGAACAGTGACTAAGACACTGGTCTTAGAGGCAAGTCTAACCTAGGCCAACTCTCACCTCAGCCACTTACTACCACGTGATTCTGGGTGAGGTTTCTTGCCAGGGCCTCATATCTGAACAGAGATAACAGGATAACAAACAGTTATCTGGACACATAGTGTGCCAAGCATTGTATACTAGATGCTTGAGATACAAAATTAAGCAAAATGACATTATTTCTGCCCTAATGGAGTTTAAAGTACATAGGACAAAATGGACATTAATACAAACAGATAAATGCTTGAAAGGAAACAATACTGAACCTGAAATGCCCACTGTAAGAAGCACAATTGTTTCATGCACCACTAAGCAGAAAAAAAAAAACAACTTGCTGATCACTAATATGTACCACTTAGAGAGATATGGCCCAATTTGAGGGATATTCAAATGTTGGAGAAAAGGTTCGTCTTAGAATGGAAGAAATATGGTAATAGGCAAGGACTCTAGACTGGTGGTTAAGAATGGTTTCCTGGGAGAAGTGATGCTTGAGATAAACTCTCAGTGGTGTACAGGTATTAAGTAAGCATTAGGGGGAAGGCGATATGATCTAGACCCCCTAATGCTTACTTAAGGGAAAGAGAATTCAGGACAAAAAACAGAGCACAGCAAACACCTGTGGCAGGAGACAGCTAGATCACCACATGGATGAAATAACGTATGAAGACTTAGCATAGCCACAGTATGTACTCCTTCATTCATTCTTGCTTTTTTTTTTTTTTGAGGTGCTCTAAGCTCACATGAGTAAGGGTCATTCTAATCCACATAAGGAGATTAGGAACTTCCTATTTTTTATATCAATGTCCTCTGGAAACCAAAGTGAAGAACTCTGTCTAAAGAATACAAGGTTCAGAAAATTTGGACTGATCCCAACCAGTCATTTGAACTATGAGACAGGGCTCCCCTGCCCCTTTGCAATAGGAGAAGTCACGTGGCTAGTTTGGGCAAACAGGCCATGAGCAGAAGGACACATGTCCCTTTGGCCTGAGGTAGTAAAAAGTGACCCTTTCATCAGCTTGGCTGTGACAACCCCAGAAGCTGTTGAGAAGCTTCTGTTGAGAAGGCAGTACCATGAGATGGTTTTGTCTGTCAGCTTCACTGGATAAATAATGTGAGGAAGAAATAAACCTTATAATTAAGCCACTGATATATGGGGGTTCATTTGCTACCACACTGTAACTTAGCCTTACCCTAATATACTGTTAGCTTAGAAGCCTTGGAGCAGCCATATCTGTTGTGAGCAAAGAAACCAGTCTGCAGGAAAAAGAAAGTGTAGAAATAAGACAAAGAATCAGTGATGAGAGGGCTATATGGAACTAAGAAAAAGAAAGGCCAGCTGCTGGGTTCTTTGGCTTGTTCCTCAGTCCCTGGGTCCAGGCCATTGTGCTCTTGGGTTCAGGATAGCGCTCTTTTCTCCTTCAATGTAGTCCCCATTTTCAACTTAAACCAACTCAAGTAACTTCCACAGACTCACAGACTAAAGAACGTTGATTAAACCCCTCAGTAATTCCCTTTCTACCTGCTGAGGTTGACTGATGATACACAAACAGAGGCTCACTGGCATCCAAATTCGAAATGTATCCAGTCTGAATTTGGAAATAAGATAGTGGACTATTAGATTCTGCTCAGGACCCAACTACTCTGGTTTTAGAGCTGGAAGGACCCTGAAACAAGAGGCAAGACACAGGGCACATCAATGCAACTGTCATGATATGGCCCTTTGTGAATTTCAGAGTATCCCCATTCAGTCCACACAACTACAATCATTTTTTTTTGTTTTTCTTTTTTTAATTTTTATTTATTGGGTAAGAGTCTGTTTTTACGTCATCGAATAATTAAATTTCAACTGACATTTGCCTGTGTATGTGTCCTCATACTAAAGTACAATATTTTCTTTTTTGTTGGTGTTCAATTACAGTTATCCCAATTTTTCCCTGTTGCTCTCCCCTACCCTACTCACACTCTGCTCCAAGCCAGTCCCCACTATGTTGTCCATGCCCATGGGTCATTTATACCAGTTCTTTAACTAGGCCCTTCCCCTTCTTTCCTCCCTTTTCCCTCTCCACCCTCCTCTCTGATCCCTGTCAGTTTCTTCCTTGTTTCCATGCTTCTGGTTCTTTTTTGCTAGTTTGTTTTGTTCATTAGGTTCCAGTTATAGGTGAGATAACACAGTGTTGTCTGTTACAGCGTGGTTTTTTTCACTTAGCATAATGCTCTCCAGTTCCATCCATGCTGTGGCAAAGGTACTTCTTTCTGCATAGTATTCCATTGTGTAAATGTACCACAGCTTTTGATCCACTCATTTACTGATGGGCATTTTGGCTGTTTGCAGCACTTGGCTATTGTAAATAATATTGCTGTAAACATAGGGGTAGATAGGTCCTTTTGAACTGGTGTTTCAGGATTCTTAGGGTATAATACCAGCAGTGGAAAAGCTGTGTCAAAAGGCAGTTATATCTTTAGTTTTTTTGAGGAAATTCCATACTGTATTCAACAGTGGCAGCACCAGCCTGCATTCCCACCAACAATGCACTAGTGTTCCTTTTTCTCCACAACCTCCCCAGCACTTGTTGTTTGTTAATGTTCATGATGGCCATTCTGAACAGTGTGAAGTGGTATATCATTGTAGTTTTAATTTGCAACTCGCTGATGGCTAGTGATGCTGAGCATCCTTTCATACACATATGGGGCCTCTGAATACTCTTTTTTGGAGAAATGTCTGTTCAGGTCCCTTGCCCATATTTTAAATTGGATAGTTTATCTTCCTGGTGTTGAATCATATGAGTTCTTTATACATTTTGGACATCAAACCCTTGTCCAAGGTATAGCTGACAAATATATTTTGACATATGTTTTCTTTAGCCATTTAGAAGACTTTTCATTTGATGTAGCCACATTTGTTTATTCTTTCTTTAATTCCCTTGCTCTGGACAATGTATGGTCAAAAATACTACTGCGTGGGATACCTGTTTTTTTCCTGCCTATGTTCTCCTCTAGGACTTTTACAGTGTTGCAACTTATATTTAAGTCTTTTATCCACCTTCAATTTATTTTTGTGTATGGTGTAAGTTGGTGATTGAGTTTCTTTCTTTTTTTTTTTTTTTTTTTTGCATGTAGCTGTCCAGATCTCCCAATACCATTTGTTGAAGAGGCTTTTTTTTTTAAATAAATATATAACTTTTTTACTACCATCCTGCCAACTATGTAAGTCCTCAGAACAAAGGACTTATTCTCTTGGCTCTCTGGCCACCTGGCCTCAGGCCACCCTAAGGGCTTTCCACCCTAGCTTTCAGCCGCCCTTATTTTGGCCACCTTGCTTTGCCCTGAACCTATGCCTTTCACCCGCCCATCCTAGCTAGGCTCGTTTTCTTCCATGGGAACAGGTCACTAATAAACTCTGATTACACACTAATAGATCTGCTGATCTGTACTTCTTCACATGTGTAAGAAGAACCAAGTCTCTCCCATCAACACTGGCTTCTCCGTGAAATGCAGTTTGCATGAAAGCCCTTGTATAGAAAGGGCTGCTAGGGCCCTGTGTTTTTGTTTGTTTGTGTTTTTAATTTTATTCTAATCATTGTTCAAGTACAGTTTTCTGCCTTTTACTCCCATTCCAGCCCGCCCACCTATCCCTCCCCACTTCACTCCCATTACCACACCCCCCCCCCCCAGTTTTTATCCATGTGTCCTTTAAATTTGTTACTGTAAACCCTTCCCATTCTCCCCTGAAATTCCCTCTTCTCTCCCCTCTGGTCACTGTCAGCCTGTCCTCTATTTCAGTGTCTTTGGTTATATTTTGCTTGTTTCTTTGTTTTGTTGTTTAGGTTCCTGTTAAAGGTGAGATCATATGGGATTTGTCTTTCATTGCCTGGCTTATTTTGCTTAGCATAATGCTTTCCAGCTCCATCCATGCTGTTGCAAAGGGCAGGAGCTCCAAAGAGGCTATTTTTACTCGATTTTATGCTTCTGCCCCCTTTGTCGAATAATAATTAACCATAGAGACTTCAGTTTATTTCTGTTCTATTGATCTACATGTCTGCTCTTATGCCAGTACCATACTGTTTTGGTCACACAGGCCTTGTAGCATAGTTTGATATCATATACTTGTGATCCTGCTACTTTGCTCTTCTTTCTCAAGATTGCTGCAATTATTTGCGGTAGTTATTTATTCCACATAAATTTTTGAAATAGCTATTCTATACTGTGAAATATGTCACTGGTATTTAATAGGGATTATGCTGAATCCATACATTACTGCGGGTAGTATGGACATTTTAATGATCTTTCTCACTATCCATGAACACAGTATATACTTCCATTTGTTTGTATCTTCCTTAATTTCTTTCATGAGTGCCCCATAGTTCTAAGTCTATGTCTTTTACCTCCTTGGTTAAGTTTATTCCTAGGTACTTTACTTTTCTTGTTGCTATAGTAAATGGGATTTTTTTTCCTAGTTTCTATTTCGCATATTTTATTGTTGGTGTACAAAAATGTCTTCAATGTCAGAATATTGACTTTGTATCTGTTATTTTGCCAAATTCACTTATTAGTTTAAGTAGTTTTTTGGTGGAGTCTATTTGGTTTTCTATGTACATTATCATGTCACCTGCAAATAATGACAGCTTTATTTCCTCTTTTCCAATTTGGATGCTATTTATTTCATTTTTTTAAAATTGTTCCATTTCAGTTCTCCTGCATTTTTCACCATTGCTTTCCTTGGATCATCCCCCCACACTCCCATAGTTTATTCCCCCTCCATTGTCCATGCCAATGAGTCCTCTATTCATGTTCCCTCACTTGCCCCTTCCCATTCTTTT